CACTTGACATGCAACAAATCCATACCGAGATTTATAAGACATACTATTTTTTTTCGTATCACGTATCGAATTTACTCACGTAAATGAATGATTTATAAATCGATTCATTACTATTAATCACTGCCGAATAATCATATTCCGCTTACTTTCATTAAGAAAAAAGTACACACTACATGCAATTACAGTAATCAATACTTTCACAGATTTACATACACTCACACACGAATCTATCGGTTTGTTATTACTACCGATTAATTATTCGGTGACTAAAAATTATTCGAAGGATACGCTTAACGTTTACACAACGCACGTAGCTCGATGCGGAGACAGTAATCGATGTAAACAATGAACCAGATTATGTTTTTATTGAAAAGTATTGTTACGCCTGTGCTTTTCGCCGTTGATGCTGTGTGTTACAGCTGACGGACCGATCGATAATATCGATTGTTTACATTTTCTTAGCAACAACTTGTTTATTTACAAATGCCATACGGCTTGAACTTATAGTGACCGATCGATATTATTGATCGGTCCGTCAGCTGTAACACACAGCATCAGCGGCAAAAGCACAGGTGTAACAATACTTTTCAATAAAAACATAATCTGGTTCATTGTTTACATAGAGTACTGTCTCCGCATCGAGCTACGTGCGTTGTGTAAACGTTAGGCGTATCCTTCGAATAATTTTTAGTCACCGAATAATTAATCGGTAGTAATAACAAACCGATAGATTCGTGTGTGAGTGTATGTAAATCTGTGAAAGTATTGATTACTGTAATTGCATGTAGTATGTACTTTTTTCTTAATAAAAGTAAGCGGAATATGATTATTCGGCAGTGATTAATAGTAATGAATTGATTTATAAATCATTCATTTACGTGAGTAAATTCGATACGTGATACACAAAAAAAATAGTATGTCTTATAAATCTCGGTATGGATTTGTTGCATGTCAAGTGCTGTGTAAATTTTTATTGCTTATCTCCAGTAAAATTATTTATCCGTCAAACAGAATGAAGACGTCGAATTTGTAAAAGTAAGTGAGCGAGCGAGAGGGAGGAAGAAAGAAAGAGAGAGAGAGAGAAAGTTGTGCGTGCGTGCGTGCGCGCGCGCGGTGTGTGTGTGGCGCGTGTTTCATCACGTGTGTTTGATCGCACGTGCGTCCCGTAATCACCCGTGTCGAATGGAGTTGCGCCCAGTTGCGCCGCTCCTGCCTATCTTCTGTATTCGTCCCGTCGATTTGATAACTTTTTCTTTTATAACTTGAAAAATAAGCGGCGGACAAAATTTTTGTAAAGGAAAAATCGTCTCAGAATTAACTCAGGAATACGTCTGTGCAAGGATACCTGGGTTGTTCTGAATCACCCTGTATATACGACTAGTTTTTTTTATTTAATATATACAACAATTTTTTTGAAAGTATTAAGAGACCTCGAGTTTCCGCTCGTGTACTAGCTTTCCGTTTTAGGTATATACACTGTTTGATATCAATAGTTTTTTAATACTTGAATAGATTATAGAAAAACTTGAAAATTACGAACACAAGCTACGTATCTACATGATACAAATTAATTTTATTAATTATCTCAATAATTCTCTTCATTAATTGGCCATGAAAATTGATTTCAAACACTCGTGCCTTTTGATAGAAAATTCGACACGAAAGGCACTCTTCTTTTCTTATTTTTAATGTCGAATAGAACGCACACAAATGGACGCGCACAAATAAAAATGGTACACGATGACACGCACTTACACCTGCATGCCATTACGAGAGGCCGGACGCGTGTTTACTGGTTCGGAATTATCGTGCTGGATGCGCGTGACAAGCGAAAAGAGTAGCGAAACCATCCCCTTTAAGAGATAGACCTTAAAGTTTCTCACGCCACGTCGGCACGTTTCCCCTCGGGATCTCCGCACTCCTCGCCTAATAGATGTGTATGTACGTCGGCATTGTGCACCGATGCACATGGAAATCGTGCGCCGTGAGTCGCTCTTGAGCAAACGAGCAGTTCGCCGCGCGCTGGCACAGCGCTACAATAGTAATGCATATATGATTGCGTGTACATGCGTTGCTGCGCGCTTTTGCGCGTGCACGTACGGCTTACAATACTGATCACAGGTCTTTTACAAGTTATAAAAAGATAAACTCAATGTCGAATTTTTTTTTTTTTCGTTTCAAATAAAACTGTAAGTTTAAAAGTAACATAATAAATATTAACTTTTGCAAGATGATTAGAAAACTGTATAAACAATTAACTCGCATACAGAATTGTGTGTGAACAACTCGTACAACGGGCAGCTTACGTAATTGTAAGGTGGATTTATTCCGCATGACGGAATATTCTTTTTACCTCATAATTATGTCTTATAAAATTATGCAAATTGTGCACACAAATGAATTATTCGTGATGGATTAACAACCGGCTTACACAGTTTCAGCACGAGCCAGCAATATGGAGGCAAAGGAAAGGGAGAAGCCGCTGGTCAAAGATTTGAATGAACATATCGTATGTCCCCTATGCAGAGGATACCTCATAGACGCTACGACTCTTGTGGAATGTTTGCATTCATGTTAGTATTTTGCTTAGCACGATTACCATTTTTTATCATTAATTACCGTGCGTTTGATTATTGAAAAGTGCAAATCTGATGCGGGAAGAGAGTAAATTTTCGTTCAAGATAAATATTTCCGACGGTCAACGTGATTTTTTTTTCAATAAAAGGATACACGTATTTGGCATGTAATTGTAAGATAGATTTATTCTGCATCATAGAATAGAATATTCTTTCTACATCATAATTTTACCTCATAAAATTATGCAAATTATGTCCTTAACATTTTTTCGTACTTTCAAATCTAGGAAAATTGTTTAAATATTCCGTGGACCATCTCTTTTGCTTTACGTATTTAATAATTTATTTAATTAAACAAATTACCTTTAATAAATATCATAATATCACGACCACTCGAGTTGATCGCATGCATTTCGGAATACGATTTCGCTGCGCTGTGTCCATCTTTTCCTCACGTGGGCACGAATCGTCAGTTTGCAGAGGTTGTATCGTTCGACGCCTGAGTAGCGGTGCTCGAGCGTGTCCTGTGTGCAACGTCGCGGCGTCGCCGCCGCTTCTGCCGGACACGCGACTCCAACGATTGGTGTATCTAGCGGTGCCCGGTCTTTTTCGATCGGAACTCGAGCGCAGACGTCACTTTCGCCTGGTGAACCCGCAATGTCCGCCCTTGACGCTTGCCGTGGGCGCTCTAGATTTGACTTTGGACGACCTCGTCAGTCTGAGTCTGCAAGAGCTGGACGAAGCGGAAGATGAGACGCCGAAGGAAGAGCACGGCTCATCGACGACCGAAGAGACGTCGCGAGGAGGCGGTGGGAGCACACGATATCTCAAGTGTCCGGCTGCCGTGACGGTGCGTCATCTGGTGAGACTGCTGATGCTGAAGAGAGGATGGGAAGAGGCCAACGCGACTGTCAATGGTGTTAATAATAGAATAGAAATTACGTATCAGCAAAACGACACGCAGCATCCTGATGAGAAGAGCATGCACTCGCTCGACCCCTCTTGGACGCTCCTGGACCTCGCTTGCATATTTCGTTGGAAAAAGGTTAGTTAATACATATATAATAGTGTGTTTGGCTTCATGTACGGCGAACGATCGATTCTATCGATGCCGGATACAGGCTAAGTTTATATAAAATTTTAGATATTTAGATGTGCGGCTTGATTTCGTTTATTGATCGCATGAATGATTTCGAATTCTTCTTTCGTATTTTTCAATTTTTTTTTTTCTTAAAAAAATGGAACAGATTGTTTTCAATTATTATTGTTGAAAATCTTAAATCCTTGAGTTTTAAAAACTTAATTTCAAATTTGGTAGAAATAAACGATATTGCTAACATGTAGATACGTGTGTAACTTTACAGTACCTACTTGAGAGTTAATAATAAGAATATTTTATTTATTATATTTTAATTAGTATTATATTTAATTTTCATATTTTAAAGCTATGTGTTATATCATGAATTTACATATGTTTGATAACATTAATTTAGAAAATTTTAGACAAGTTCCACTCGAAAAAATAAACTCGCTGAGCAGCGAGGAAAGAAATTGTTGTATAAATAATTTTCCGGAAAAGTTAGTTTTCGCAAGTGCGTTATTTTTTATCGTCGATTAAAATTTGTTTCCCGTTCGTAATAAAAATAATGATTTATTTAGCCAAAGAATTAGCGGTGAAAGATTCTCCAAAAATCTAATTATCTCAAATTCAAGAAATGCCGGTCAAACAAATTTAAATCGGATTCTATATTTGCTAAAATCGAGCCTGGACCCGGCAGTGCGCATATTATCAAAAGCGGCGCAATGGCTCGTCTGTTGCAGGAACTGCCAATGAAATTGTTCTACCGGGTGTTGCGTAAGGAGGAGGCGGTCTCGATTTCAAGAGTTCCTTCATATAAAGATGACGCAACGAAAGACGGTCCGCCGACGATCGAGAACATGCAGAGACCGCCGACTCCACCACCAAGCCCTAAGCCCAGCGCGCGCGAACCGGAAGCGGAAGCACGTGGCGTGGAACCTCCTCGCGCTCTCGAAACGAACACGGACAAGGAGACGAGGACGAAGAAGCCGCGGTGCGAGGTGACGCCTGTCATGCGAACCCCCGATCCCCCGTCTGCCGAGCTTCCAGCGAATAATCAATCGCAGGAGAGCGCGAAGAGCAAGGATCTGACAAGGCTGGAGCACCGAAAAAGACGCAAGCGACGAAACAAACGAGTGATCGCGGAAATCACTACGACGCCGCGCGAGGATCTGCTGAAGCTCAAAGTCCGCCTGACACCACGTCCCCCGAGGATCACCTCTGGCGCAGGAACCGTTGGTGGCGGCGGCGGCAGTGACAGCGGCAACAGCGGCAACGGCGGAGGTATGAACGCGAACAACCAAGCGAAGGAGAAACTGCTACAGCTACGATCGGTCAGGCGCGAAAAGATCAAGGCGATCACCCAACAACAACGTTGGACGGCGGCAAGTTCAATAGCCAAAGAGGAAATTACGCCTAAGGAGTGCGCGACGGTGGACGTGGAGGAAACGATCGAGGACATCATCGACAGCATTCCCGATGAAGTCGTGTGTATCGCGCAAAATATCAACACTCAGAGTGAGGACGCGGCGGCGGAAAAAACGACCGGCAACGAGAAATCGGAACCGATCGAGATCTCGGAAAATAACGACGAGCCGGAAAGGCCGAAGAAGGATGAGGAAATCCTGCGGCGATTAGGTCTGGTCGCCATCAAGGAGATTAGCGGCGACAAGACGGCGAAGCAACGCGCGCACAGTAGCGTTGACAAGGCGAGCAGCCTGGACCGCGAGAAGCTGGAGAAGCAATTGCGCGAGAGCAAGGCAAACCGCGTGCGAAGTCTGTTGGCGGAGAAGCAGATGCGCGATGCGCTCAAGAGTATCATGTCCAAGACGAAGGAGGAACGATCCGCATCCGCGAGCGACACGTCGATGTCCGCCTCTACTTCCGTTTCCGTCTCCGCGCCGGTTTCCGCGCCGAAAAAGAAGGAACCGCCGCCGTTGGCGCCGCTGCGCGTCGCCAAACCCTCCGACTTCGCCGCGACTAGCGGCGTGCTGATGTCCAACGCCGCCTCCAAGTACGAGACGCCGTTAGACCTCAGCAGTGGCGGCACCGTTGCCAATGACAACGCCCTCGACCTGTCCGCCACGTTACCTGGCGGCGGTAGATTGGTCACTTTTTCATCTTCCTCGTCACCCTCTTCCTCGTCCTCTTCTTCCTCCTCCTCGCCCTCGTCCTGCTCGATATCGTCGTTGCCGTCGTCGAAGGCGGCGCGATCTATGATCGGCGGCGCCGGCGGCTTTCTTCGCAAATCCAAAGAATTTGCGGACCAGCACCGCAAGGGAGCGGCACAGCAGGAGTCGAATCTGAGAACTCTCTCGGACGTCGCGGTGTCCCGCCTGAGCGGCTGCCTGAGCACGCTGATCGAGAAGAACCCGACAGCGGTAGAGCCGTTTGCGTTGGCCTCCGCGAACATCCACGCCGCCGCCAGTAAAGTTGCCCTGCGCATACCGCAGCCGCATCAGCGCATCTCCGGCTTCGGTATGAAGATCAAGCCCAATCTCGGAGTCCGGCATATTCCGAATCCTCAGGCCGTCGTGGCCTCTCAGTACCGTAATCAAAGGGCTAATTACTTCAACACCGTCTCTCAGCAGCCTCCGTAAATCCTTCTTTGATCCATCGATGTAATTTATTCTTTCTCTCCTTCCGCACACACTCCCTTCGCTTTTTCACGCTCCCTACGCTTTATTTTCTTCGCCGGGTCTCGTCGTTGGGAGACGGAGAGTGCCACGAGAGACGGAATTCCTATACGACCAAAATCCAAAGGTAGTACGTTACCAATTGTTTTCTGTTCATTTCTCCAGTGACTCGTTGATAGCGTTCGGTGACGTAATCAGGTTGATCGAAAAGTTCTAAATAATTTTGTCACGAGATTGATCGCAAGATTGATCGAAGAGTCTTACAGATAAAGGAGAATAACTTGTAACGCATTGATTTGTAATTATTATTCTAGGGCACATAATACTCCCAGCAATTAATATGTTCCTCTTGACGAAAAAAATACTCGATTTTATATCGAGTTCAGAAATCCACAAGTTGATATATTCACAAAAATGTAGAGTATTCCATGACGTATCCATTAAACTTTACTTATAAATTCATTGTATAATTTACAGTCATATTTTTTTCAAAAAATGCGAATTAAAAATGTCATTTTTTTACAAACTAAACTTGAAGAATGCAAACAGATAAAATCTTATTCTCCATTTAATCTCAAATCAAATTTACTTACTTTAATAGAACTTTATTTTAAAGATTAATTATTAAATAGTATTCAATAAAATTTTTAAAATAATTGGGTTAAAAAGTTTCTCAAACAATCTGCAAATAATGTTTATTGGATATATCATGAAGTACTCTTTGTAGTTTGCTCGCACGTTGACGGGCCAGTGTTCCTAAAACGCATAAGTGTCGATATGTTGCTGTGCTCTGTGTTGCAATTGTTTGGATCTAGTTGAAATTTTCCGCAAGATGCGATAAGATTTTACTGTGATTCCAATGAAAATCAAACAGATCGAATATGATAGCAAGACTTTTAAACGATCTACTCATCTCCGTCTCTTCGGCTCGGATGACTGAGAGGCGCATAGTCGTATTACCTTCGACGTGATTACACCGTGAACGCGCTCTTTCGAGGGGAAAAATAATCAGCAATTACTCATCGGATTATTGTTACCTAGATATATCAAAACTGTGTATGTGGTGTCTGTAATAATGTATGCCTGACCCGCGTCGCGCACTATACTCACTATAGTTACCGGCGTATCGATTCGACAAATGAAAACCGTTGCGAGGAAAATCTGTGACAAAACGCCGTATCCAATATCGATGAGAACGAATTATTATATATATATATATAATATATACATATATCATCTGCGTGCATTTTGCTGCATAAATGATGAAACGTGCGCGGATGACAACAGATATAGATAGTAGTCCATTGTTCCTGCGGTAGGACTGTGCGAGTACTCGAAGCTGGCGAGAAGCGAGCAAAGAGTTAGAATCGAGTACTCGAAAACTTCTACGGTAAGTTTTTAATATTTATTATGTAGGAATTCTCGAAACAATGGTCAGCGACAAGCTGGGCATCCATCTGTTTGCAAATTTTTGTTATACTTATTTTTAATTGATCTTATACCCATCATGTTATCTTATATCATGTTTACGTAACGAACACGCATACACGCACACACACACACATACACACACACACTCACCCTACACCGTATCAAATACTATTATCCGATATGGAAGATGATGGATTTTAGTTGATCAGAAAAATTCTCTGCGATTTTATTATATATATTTACAATTGTTGAATTATTTCAGTTATTTGTTTGTTGATTTAGTTGTAGTATGTTTTTGAAACGTTTGTTTGTTAGAAACATTCAAAATATTTAAAAGTAACTACGAAATACATATGTAATAATCATTAATTCCTTTTGGACGATTCCAAAGATGTAAGTAAATAACGTAATAGAATATGATCGTATTATACAAGAGTCAAGAACTCTGTTATCGTTCGCGTATGTTACGCGCGACACTTAGAAAATTTATCCGAGACTTGAATTCATACGATCAAGACGAGATGTTTTTTCTCGAGTGTTCGCACGGGCCTATTACGTTGGGCTATATACTTCTCTTTCTCTCTTTCCTCCCCCCTCTCTCTCTTTCTCTCTCTTTCTCTCTCCTCTCTCCCCCTTTATTCCCTCCTTTCATCACACCTCCTTTCTCCCTTTTCTTTCTCAGAACTTACGATTAGCGAAATATACTTGCATATAATGATTCGTAGAGATGCCAAAGAACGCCAGAGAACGTGTGCAATGTATTAGTGCAATTTAGTTATCACTTAGCGTAAACGTATAATTGATCCAACGCATTCGGCGAACTAACACGATTGAGTTATAAAAGATAGGTAGACTAGTCGTACAGACACATACGAATTGCGTGTGCGTGATTTGTGATTCCCCGGAGGGACTCTCTGTAGCGCATATAGACGTCCACGAGACGAAATGTTTTTATAACAACACATTTTTGTGGCATTTATAAAAAAAGAAAAACAAATGTCGCGAGATCCGATTACGCAAGCGTGGCTGAAATTGCGAGCGCATATTTCGGTGCGCGACCATGACCAAAAAAAAAAAAACGGCGTCTTCTGACTGACAAGCATTAACGCTTAGGCCTTAAACTGACCGATAAGTGGTGGAAAAGTTTAAAATTTCACGCCATTTGAGAAGATGAAATCTTTTTTAACGAGTCTTGTTTAACTTTCGAATTCGAGCGACATACATTTTATATTTCCTGTATCAAGATAATTCATAGTATGTATTTATATTTAATGTATGAAAGCAAAGCTCATATTATTAACATTTCTTTCAATATTGATTTAAAAAGGAATAAGAAAGAACTAAAAACATTTAATAATTTTAAATTGAAAAAAATGAAAAGATTCGGAATTCTTTGTTCAAATTGTTGTTTGAAAATTTTCTAACTTTACCAAGAGTTTTGAAAAATGGGAAATGTGAGTTTTGCTTCTATACTCCCCATATAAAGGAATGCCGAATATTCTAATAAAGAATAAACGCCAATATCTTTATTAAATAATCATACATTCCAGGAAGCTCCACGCACAGTGGATCAGAAATTGTAGAATACTCTTGAATAAACTTCGGGAAAAAAAAAAAAATGACCAATTACAAAATACAACATCAAATGGCAGATAACGTAAACTTTTCATGTTTAGTTCGGTGTGAAGAGATTAATCGAATGAGCATCAAAATTTCCTGTAAGTGTGCACAACTGTCATGTTTCGAGATGCGAATCGCAGCGAATGATAAAGAAACCGTGAATGTTTAAAACCGGATTTGCTTCCATGCGCTTACGATATAAGATAGAGTCAATGTAATTGCTCTGAGACGTAACTCGTGCGTTTGGAAAGTACGCAGCAAAATCGCACACGTGAGACAAACTATAATTGCGATTTGAAAATAAACGATGCGTATTTGATAATAAATTGTTCAATTTCCCTGAATGGTTGCTTCCTCGTCGTTTGTATTGTAATTTTTTAAGGTCCGCATGCAGAAGGATAATGCTGAAGCATGGTTTTAAATATAAACACTTTGGTATGATGTATCTTAAAAAGTTTATCGAGATAAAGCCAGTATTCGTATTTGTGCAAGGAGTTTTTTAAACCATTAAACTCGTTGTTAAATGCTTTGATAGTACAATGTAACCACTGTGTAGATAAATATACGTTGCGACTTACTTACACGAAACTTTACATCGAAGACTGCATATCTTTTTCATATGTGCAACATTGCCATTGTGCCAAAAACGCAAATGTGCAAACTTGACAATTTTGATTAAAATGCTTTTTTGTCCAGAATTTTGCAATTAGTATTTATTTAGATAGTATAAATTTCTGAATCTTTCTTTTCATAAATCTTTTAATGGGTAAACAAAAATTTGTACCTAAAAAATATTTTTTAACATAAAAAAATAAAAGCATAAGCTATAAATTTCAAATTTTTTTGCAAACTAAAATGTTTTAGTATAAATAAAATTGCAAGGTTGTATATTCTTGATTTTGACATAATACATCCCAGAATCAATTAATAACAACATAATAAGTGAAAAAAACGTAATTAATAATAAGTGAATAAAACACGTGCAATTTTTTTCACAAACTTGTCGAGAGAAGAAAGACAAATAAAATATAATGAAAAAATTCAAATATTAATTAACAAAATACTATATTTAAAACGATAAAGTGAAAAGAGAAATGAGAACGAAACAGTTAATAAATGCAAAAAAAAGGGAGAATAAAAAAGGAAAAAGAAAAGCTAACGATATTTTTAAAATCAATTTTTGGTTCCCTGTTATGAGATCATATTAATTAACTATTGCGGACTTTTTCCATCGGTAGAGCGATGCGCTAATATGAGAAGGAAGAACAAATTGAATAAAAACTATCATTTCACACATGAAAGCCACGTTTCTCGCTTTCATTTGCGAAGAGGACGAAAAAGGAAGAAGACAGATTTTTAAAACTATTTTTCTGTTACATTTTTTAATACGTAATTGTAAATATACATTTATTATCTGACGAATAACACGTTGCAAAAAATCACGGAAACCAAGAAGATACTCAATTTTGTCGGAAAACATAAATGATCCGTACTGAAGCACGCTACTAATAACGTAAGTATAAGTCTGAAAATTTCTATACTAGGATTGATATAAAATAATTAATGCATTTTTTTACGTATAGAAAAATACAATTATTTGATTGCATTGTTATACCTTTCATTATTACATATTTACACATTTTACTATTTTTTGCATAGATTAAGAAATTGATAATTTGGATAAATCTTATGAAAGGAGGAAAGTTATACTCTCTCTATTAACATAACATTTTTATTTCGTGCAAGGATACTCGTTTGCATGAATTATCAAATCGAGAAATTGCCGTATTTGCAAGAACCATAAATCTCAGACATTTATTATTATTAACTCTATTTGTCACGAATAGTATTTAGTTATATTAAAATATTTCATGTTCGCAGCTGTTTCTGTTTACATTGAATTAATGGATGTTTATTGATTCAATATTGATGAATATCATCATTTAATAATATAAAAATAAATCATAAAATTGCAATCTTTTTTTTATATAAATAGCGATTTAATAATATTTCTATAACAAAAAAATGCAATACAGATATTGTGATCCTATATGTAAAATGTTAATTGTTTGGGTGTACTAATTAATTAGGCAAAAAATATACTGCATAACGCGCTCTTTAGTTTCGATAAAAATGATCAAAATTAATTTAATGAAAACGACGAATTAAATTAAATATAAAATAAACGAAAAGCGATAATTGTTGAGCGATATTTATTATTAAAGGTATCTACTCTATTGTTTTGTTCGGAAGATATGTCATTAATACAATATAGAATATTTTTTTATATTTTACTTGTACAAGTAAAATATAAAAAAAATATGTAATACATTATATATAATTTATATGCAACGTTTATCCTTGCCTAGTGAGAGACAGACGAATATACTTACACAGCAAGCACATTCAGTTTTTAAGTAAAAAGACGACTATAAAACTTGAACTGGGATTGAGCGTAAAAATGGCGAACACGTTCACCTTGGAGAACGCGTAGCTGTTAACTGTATAGCTGTAACTCTATGATCATCGCTTGATGATTATTATTGATGAGTGAATGCTCATATATCATTAAGTGATAAGTATATTTCTCTCTATCGACTTTTACCTCCAATCATTTCTTTAACAAAAACACACACTGTTGTGTTAAACACAGGTTGTTTAAATTTTGGCACCTCGTCAAACTTTCGTTTCAACTTAATAATCTTCCTTTCAAGACTCGTACAAATGATAACAATTTCTTTAAAATAATTCAGTTGTTCGTTAAACACAGCAAATGTATCAACATCAATTATAATGTATACGCTAAGAACAGTGTTTAATCGCGATTTTTCACGATTGATCGCAAACCGATTCGCGAGGAATCACAAACCACGGCTAGCATCAATCGCTGATATTTTCAGATTTTTAAATAAATCATAGAACTCGTTCGAGTTTTTGGATCAATCGCTGTCGTGGAATAACAAACGATATCTTTACCCTCTTCTATTAGGCTTTCAGCTCAGGTAGTAAGTTTTTGTTATATTTGCTTGAAGTGGAGGGATTATGTGTCGAGAGGAAAGGTATGAAGTACATCGATACGTACCTTCCTTCTTTTTCTTTCTTTGAATATCTATCCCTTTTTGAGGACACAGCACCGCATGCCTTCGACGAGCTACGTTAGAAGGGAGAGAGTCGGCCTGCGGCCACGGAGCTCGACCGCTGATTGGCTGCAGCCTCCCCGGGGAAGTGCGTCGGAAGTGAAGAGGGCTGAACGCACCCGAGACGCAAATAGACGAGGTGCGGTTACACAATGCTATGCGATCTTTTAATAAAACAACCGCGACCACCGATGATCTGATACAATCGAAAATTAATTTGTCAATATGCGGACACCGAGAGATATTGCTCGATTAACAATAAAAAATTCTCAAAACTCCGGTGAGTTAAAATCTAAAGCAAATTGCTGAAATTATGCAAAAACATCGCAACTCCGCGGAATCTCAATCGATTAACTTTTCTCGCGAGTGATGTCAAATCGTGAGATTGAAGAAGTGAAATCTGTCCACAGAGGATCGATCCTAATTTTATGGTTTTCCAATTTTACAGCTCTTTCTTCGACAAATGTTTAAGATTGCAATATTGAAGAAGGAAGAAGGAATCTTTATTTCAACTTGACAATTTGAGCCTTCTTTGAGAGATTCAATCTTTCTCATTTTTACGGATCTTCCAGCGAGTCTGAAAACAAGGTACGACATGTGCCGAAGGGCATCCCTCATCGTGTGTAAGGGATATCGCGCGTAAATTATCTCCCTCTCGCTCGTTTACATTGCGTCTCACTTCTTTCCATAGGCGCACAATCCTCGGGATTTCGGTTTTTCTGTCTCCTTTTCACCACATAGAACAGACGGTTCGGACGTAATGCTGCCACCCTTTCCGCCCCTACTCTCCTACACGAAGCGGAGGTCTTCTCGACCTTCCTCCTCGACCTTCCTCCTCGTTTCGCTCCCGCTGTCAGATCGCACGCACGCAGGCGTTACGCACGCACACGGTGCACCCTTCGTACTACCTATCAGTGTAGTGGTGGATGAATAATGTACCCGTGCGAGGGGGGCTCCGGGGAATGCGAGAGACCGTCCGCTTTCCCTTCCCTTTCCGAAGACTCACTGGCCTGTTCGTTCTTATCGAAACGGCGACTGCGTAAACGCGATTTCGGCTTCATACATGCCTACGGCGAGGTGATCTCTTAATCCCGATGTTCGATCGTTCTTCATCGCGACGCGCCAATCTTCGACATTTCATTTAATTGTACTTAAGTAATGACTAATTTGACTGGCAAAGTTTGTAGTACCGTGCGAGAAAGCTGTTGGAAAAATCGAAACAAATCTATTTTGCACGCATAACGTCAACGCTCATAATATAATTTATCTTGCATTTCGTATTGATTTTATTCATAATATATCATGTAAATATTATTGTTGCTGTTTTACATTATTCGGTTATTAGACGATACCGCAGATACCGGGTCTGTAAATAGAAATTGATAAAATAAAAATCGTCACACTTTTTAAATATGACATCATCTCTCATTCGCATAACGATATTTGACGAATTAAAATATAAATGACGAAGCCCTTCCGTGCTCCACGCGCTCTAAAACCGTCAGCTTAGTCGAGCGATAGGGAAGATCGAATCGAGGCGGAGTCGTGCGGCAACACCGTCCTAAGTGTCCTAAAATTGGCGGCAGAACGATGAATCGATACGCTCTCTCGTCCTTGCTACTGCCTTCAGACACGCGGGATTGCTCGCCCGCCACCCCATCATTGTAGTGCTGTAACTCGGCAGCAATTTGTTGAAAATCCTCTATCATGACATGAATTCGTCTTTTCCTTCATCGTGCAACACGCGGTACAATTCGCGATATAAAAAAACAGAAAAAAATTCATATGAGACGTGCGTGGAAATCGACTCCCTCGCTTCTTCCCCGCGGAACACGTAAAACGTTTCCCAAAAGCATTTCTATCGACCGTATCGCGGCGCAGGCTCATTGCGAGTGACGACGTGCGCGCATACACATACACACACACACGCACACGCGCGTATTCGGGCCGGAGCCGCCCACGCATCATCACTTATACTGGTCGTATGCACGACGAAGGGGACGATGATTCGTAAAGCGGGCTGCGCTCAGAGAAAGGGCGAAGGCGAGGATGAAGCGTGCGCCCCCGTCTGGATAGCGTCTCATTCGTCGCTTTTCGCGTTCCACGTTCCTCACAGACCACCGATGCATGTTTCATGGTAGGGAAAAAGCAGGGGGGTATCTCTAAGGGAGCACCCTCCGAAGAGAGAGCCTTGGAACGATAAGCCCCCGCCCCCCCCCTCCAGGGATGATGAAGAACGGGAAGATGGGGGGAGGTAGGGCACATACCCATACTATAGATATTTTCATCGGCGAGTTCTGTCATGTTGAAGAATAGGAAAGGATAGTCGCAGCCTTCAACTACCAACTAGGATGGGTCGGGATTGGAGGATCGCGCATTGTAGCGGGACTAATCGCAGTTTTATCTTACAGTCGTTAATTGTTGTCTCGAAATTAATAACTAACTAATGACAATTTTATTGCCGCTTAACCGCGCGTGAATTATTTTATTACGGAAATATTAAAAGCATCTTTTCCAATTGAGTATCCTTCACACGTAACGCTTACACCGCCATTTTGTTTCCCTCCGATTATTTCGCTTCGGTGTTCGGTCGTTTTTAGATTTACGATAACGTTAAGCTATGTCTTCGCGAACAAAAGTATTACTTTTGCGTAATAAGAATAATTTTCGAGCATTCTTTCATAATTAGATCAATTTGATAGTGGCTTTTCGAAATTAAAGATAAAGAGACAGAAAGAATAAAGAGAAATATAAGAGAAAGCAAGGAAATAAGAAAAACATTTATAGAAATGTTTTATAAAGTAATAATTGCCAGGCATTGTGTTAAAATGCAGAATACGTTGAAACGTTTGCGAATACGGATGGCTTGATTTTCTAATTAAGGATAGAGCGCAAACTCGGAAAGAGAGCAATTAGTTCGCAACGAAAAACACTGAAAAAATAGGTTCTTCCTTCTATTTTTGAATATTTTTCGTGTAATTGTACGCCGACTTTAAATAAAATTTTTATGACCGACAATGTCGGAACTAAAGCAACGCATTAGCCATAAAAATTCCAAATTCACATGCATGTTTTATTCGCGATGTGTTGCCTTGTTTTCATACATTTTTTTTTCAAGCATATTCGTAATATGAACAGGAAAGAGAAATACATTTGACCAAAGTGCATTTTAATCTTAACATACTCGCACACGATTGTTTATTTAGACCATTTTCGCAAATTCTAGAGAGGATGAAGAGGACATTGCTCTAGCGAAACACGCGAGTATTTGAACAGCGCAGACGCGGTGTACGCGTAAATAGCGACAGAGTGGCCGCATATCACGGAGATCTCTACTGTTCACTTGCAGATGAAACTTATATGAGAATTTTAGATATCAAATGATATCAATTTGTGAATATACTTACTCAATGTACGCTTTCGTGCTTCCTTTAGTTTCATTTAAAAATATTGGCAAACTGCATTTGCTACGCTTTCAAAGCTGTGCTTTTCCACCCCGTACTATAAAATATACTGCGCAATAATGTAGAGAAAGTGACACATAATAATGTTATCAATTATTAAATTAATATTGTTGTCAATTGTTGAATTATTAAATCGCACTCCACTCTAGCTCATTTTGATACATCATATTAAAACATATCTTTAAAGAATATATTATTGTGACAACTATAGTATGAAAATATAGGCATAAATCATTAGTTTTTTTGTACTTTTAGATAATGTAGAATATATTTTTCTTTTTCTCTCTTTCCTTTCTGTTTTCCCTTCCTTTTTTTCCTCTTCTTCTCTTTCCCTATCGCTTTCTCTCTCTTTTTTAAATTTGTATATAGCTTTAAAAATTAATCAATTACAAAAAATGCATGTATTTCAGCATTGCCTCTTAACTATCAACATTTCTGCATTAAAGTCGTAGTTATCTTTTTTAATTTTATCGTTTATCTGGAGCGGAAAGAACGATCAGTGTGATTCTTGCTTATTAGAATCACTCTTAAATATTCGGAAAATATTACTTATTTCCATGTCAATTTGTTAATCAACAATTAGAGCGTTCATATGATTCAGTCAAACTTGCTATTGCAAAATATTGACTCAATCAAAAAGCTTTTCATTAGAATATATGTAAAGTGCATAGGAAAAAGTTGAATTACTTGAACTTATATTGAGTGGCATATTATTCCTTCTGAATAATACCTATATTCTAGTAACAAATATTACTTCTATCACAAATTGCAACAAATTTTCTTATATAAAATATAATTGAAGAATTTTCTGCGCTACGCGGAGAAAATTTTATATAAAAAGTGACTATGCCTGGCAGTAACCGCGGACCATGAAGCCGCGGATCGAAAATTTTTACTACATTTCACGTCTAAAAAAACATAATAAAAATTTTTACAATTCCTGTATGGTCCACGGCTACTGCCGTACATAGTAATTTTTGATATAAAATTCTTTCCGTGAATATATCTCTCTGAATAATGCGTCAAAGCAGATAATAATAGTCTTGTCTACTATTGTGACTTTTTCAATTTCACACATTTATTGCAAATTCTAAAATTATAAAAGATAGAGGATACCATAAAAATATCATTTTAACATTTAGATACATTCTACTCCGTATTATTATCTAATGAATTGGCCTGCTTTGCATAATTGATTGATTAATTTAGTATGGAATAATACATAAGCAATAGAACAAAATGCTCAATTCTTTAATTTTGTTATTGCATACAAAAGATCGAGAAATGCATGTATTGTCTATATCGAGAGAAACATACTCTTCCTCTTTTTCTTTCTCTCTCTCTCTCTCTCTCTCTCTCTCTCTCTTTCTTTCTCTCTTTACCCTTTTTATCGACATATTATAAAGCGGGGCGGTAGAATTCAAATTAAATTGCGTTGATTCATAACTGTACCATATATCTGAATAATGCTTCAAAGCAGATAATAATAGTCTTATTTATTATTGTGATTAACATTAACTTTTACCACGCATTTATTACAAATTCTAAAACTATAAAAGATAGAGAACACACCATAAAAATATGATTTTCTCGATTAATTTTCGAAGTTTTAATTCCAGCGACAAAGAGAAAATAGAATATACAACATTTCAGTCTTATTTAAAATTTATCGATATTTTTGTATAAAACCTAAACTTTGTATAAAAACGCTAAGCTTGACAAAGAGCTTGTGACATATATTCTAATGTATGTATATTCTAATTTCACACACTAATTCCATATTTTAGTTCCACGTTGTTGAGCATTTTTTATTTTGTTAATTTGCATCTATAGCAGTACTTAAGATGATTGTAAATAATGATGACTTATTTATAATCATTTCTATGATTATATGCGTGATTATTTCTATCATTTAAGTTTTCAACACATATATACCGAGATGTAAATATTTGTTTTTCTATGAGAAAAATAATTTCCTATTCTTTGTATTTCAACATGCAGTAGTTTTTTTTTTTTTTTTTT